TAATGGCGGTCCACCTTGTGGGGCTGCATTCCTCGCATCTCACTCTCAGATCAATGTCAGAGTTCTGTGTGCTCCAACAAACATTAGAACTATATAGGTAATCTAACTTTAGCCCCGAAATGTTATTGCCTCGAATATATATCTTAGGGGACCTACGCAAGGTTCAATATCAAGGTGGAGCCTTTGAAAATAGATCAAGCCAACCTGAATACCAAGCGCATGCTAGATCTTATGGCTGTGGGTCAAGACAAAGGGCCAGTACCTTTTGTACAGGCATACTGTCCAGCGTATTCTAGACATCCCACTTCGATTACCAAGCATTCAAAAAGCGAGTCCTTGATTCTGATATTCTTCCTAGTCAACTCGAGCCCTCGAAGCAACGCCTAGAGACAATTGAAAGCTTCATGCCTTCCCAGCAAGCAAAGCCACCGAGTGGGCTAAAAAAAAAGGGAAAAATCCCAGGGCGCAGGCTTGAGCTGGGCACCAAAGTTTAGAACCTGACAGTCAATCCCAGTATCGCAAAGACGGGTTAATTTGTTTGACCAGCCATCACCATGGACGATCATTGATATTTCTTGCCCTTGCATCTCTCCTGATACAGCTTGTTCTCTGTTCAATATTTGCTTTGAAATATTCATGGAGCAGGACACAAAAATTGGCCCAATAGTTGCACTCGATGAGGCTCACAAGGTTCGTCACTTACGAATAGGATCTCATACTGATGGCCGTTGACGCGGCGTGTATAGTATATGAAAGATTCAGTCGAACCGCGCAGCTTTACCGGGAACACCATCGACATTATTCTTGACAATAACGGGAGGCTACGCTGGAAGTACGAAAACCCGGAGTTAATCGCGAGTAGGCTCTTCCGCCTTGCTATGTATAGTTCCTGAATCTGTTATACTGCTATAGCTCCTACAAACGATATCTCAGGCTTAGTCCTATGACATGGGCCGTCCGAGGAAAATTTCACCGTTCACTATGGCCTACGAAAGATGCTTTATTTTGAGATCCGTTCTCTGCACGACAAGGCTTCTCTTCACAATCGTATCTCGAAACTCGAAAAACTACCACAATTCTTATGAATTCGGGGCGCATTTTTATGCATGACAACGCTTCAATTCATACGGCTAAAATCATTAACGCGTAGTTGTGGGAGAATGCAATTCCTACTACCGACCGGCCGCCGTATTCGCCGGATTTGAACCCTATTGAACATGCCTAGGCGAAGCTAAAAGAAATGATCGATCGCCTCGATCCTGACCAGGATAATTTTGTAGGAACCAAAGAAGAATTAGTTGAGCATTTTCAACAATTAATTCACCAGGCATGGGGGGAGTTAGGTCAGGATTACTTTGATGGGTTGATTCGAAGCATGAATCGAAGGTGTGAGGCAGTAATTGCCGCTCAGGGGTGGTATACTAGGTATTAAAAGCATGTAAATAATATTACAAGACTCTCTATGAAAATATACTATTTTCATTGTATTAAATTAATATTACTGTATACGGGAATTAAATGAAATGTATGGGGTGTGAGATATATTTGAAGTAGGAGCGGGATCACGGAAACTTTTGCAGTGGGGCTGGGCTGTATAACTCGCCGACTTAGCAGAAAGATAACTGTTATTTATACCTGTTTTGTAAAAGCTCTATTCTAATCTACTAACCGTGCCAAGCGCCCAACCACCCATACTTGGTGTTGGTGGGCCCCACTTAACGATAATTTTCCACTTTGGCATCAACTATGTTAGCATTTTACACCATACCACGATGTCGGAACAAATTGAACATGTCGAAGATCAAAACTTAAGAGCTACCACTGCATTACGGATGGCGTAATACCTCGTTCGTAAGCAAGCCCGGCCGTGGGCCCACTCAAGGTATTATTGGCTAGACCTGGCTTTAAACCTCCGCATGGGTCCCTACCCCGGAACCTCGAACCTCACCTCTTGAGGTGAGGTTCCAACCTCTATCGACCCGCATGAACCTGCATATACATAATTTCTTGACGCCTTTCCTCTTTTGGCTGGATAAAATTGATGATTCATCTCTGTTTTTTAAAGCTGGTCCGTCAACCTATAGACTTTTCACTGAATACTCTATCAACATAATGAATTATAAAGATATAGTTATTGAAACGTAAATAGGAGGCGTGGTCACCTACAAATTATAGGTAATATTCGATGATATCGACGTGGTGGGTGGTCAATAGAGGTCATCGATAAAATAGCATATAAAGTTGTAGATATATATATCGCTGAAAAGTATGTGTATCTTTATCAGTAGAACTACTGTTCTTTAAGAAAATTATAAAGACGCACTTTAATCCCCTCATTTTAATATCATTCAAACCGTTATATCTTCTTCTATCACTTTGTCTTTCAGAATTCAGCTTAACTGATCTGGATATACCGTGAATCCGGTTCAAAGGTCCTAATTGTTAGACTTAGACGTTCTATTTTTCCTATATTGAGGTTCTCATTGAGGTTCGTTGAGGTTTATTGAGGTTCATTTCTATAGTGATCCACTATACTAGCGAATCAGATATAGATAGGTGGATATAAAAGTTGATAGATAAATTTGAGCATTGTGGAATAGGGATAAACAGAGGGACCAAGAAGATCATGTAACTTCTACAGAATAACTAGTAAGTTCCTTATTATCTTCCCTAAGTTATACTGGTTTACCGAATTTATTATGTCTCAGATTACCGACGGCTACGGCTACATGCGGCATCATCTAGCTTCGAAGTTCGAAGGGTTACCGCTAGACGCGCTATAATTCCTTACCCCTGACGATACGCTATCCCAACGCGAAAGCCAGTTTGATTCAAGTCCTGACCCTCTAGATAACCAAGTCCGATCTCGTGCAGGACCTCGGGCCCTAGATACCCTTACGCGAATCAAGCCAGATAGTATTAACGAGTATATCGTCTTTACTACCGACATGTCCGCGGAATTCGTTAAGTGGTGGCTTCAAACCGACTTTGGTAAGAAGAAGCGGCTAAACTGGGAAGTCAGCGGTCGCGCAGACTGCTGGACTGGGTTTCAACAAGTTGCACATACTAAAGATTGAAAGCCTGGCGTTATGTGCAATCGGTGCCGCACAGTTCTTACGCATCCAGCTACAAATCATACTGGAAACTCATCGATGCAGAAGCATCTTGATGGGCCAAGCTGTCGACAGCGAATTACGAAGAAGGGTAATATCCAGCAACAACTCAGCGACGCGGTATGTTCGAGATAGCCTATATTAACTATTAATACTAATAATGAATTCACTATCTTTTAGGCCGAGAGAAGACCAGCGCCTATCTTTACCCAACAAACATGGGAACAGAAGATTCTAAACCTAATCACTGTTTCACATTTACCCTTCCTCTTCGTCGAGCACCAAGAATTCTATGACCTCATTTCCTACGCACGGCTAGCACCTACACCACCGACCGTTCCATCAAGAAAGGTGATTCGCGACCGCCTCTGGGGTTTTGTTACGGAGTATTAACAAGAGACACTATAACAGCTCCCATCTGGTGCAAAAATGTCGATTGCGCTTGACTGCTGGGTTTCACCATTCAAGCACGCATTTATGGCTATCACAAGATACTTCCTAGACCAGGAATGGGAGTATCGTGAGGTCCTACTTGGGTTTGAGCCAATTTCTGGATCTCATACTGGCGTGAACCTCGGGGATGTAGTTCTCCAGATCCTACAAAAGCACCAAATCGTTGACCGAGTACTGGCGGTGACAACTGATAATGCATCTAACAATAAGACACTTATCGCAGCAGTGAATGATTCAATCAAGAAGCTACATATGGAGACGGATTCTACGATTATCCAAGTGCCCTGCCTTGCGCATGTTTTTCAATTGAGTCCGGTTGACTTGCTTGGTAAAATCAAGGCTTCGCCAAAGAATGATAGCGCCGAGACAGAATGGTCTGATGATCGTATAAGTTTACTTCGTGCGCGCCAGCAGAAACATGAGATCGCCGATACTCTGAACAAGGTATGTTTCTATTTATGAATCATGAATAGTTTACATAAATTAGTGCGATAGTTATAACTATAATAAAAATAAAAATAAAAAATGTTTTTACATAATTATATATCTAAATTACAATTAGATGCTCCAAATATTCTGGTTCCTGATAGGTCTGAGGTCTTGCGGTTTATATCAACGGAAGCCCTCAACGCAAGGAAGCCTTCCTGAATACCCAGCCTAGTAGTACGCTACGGCTTCTTCTAATCCAGAATGTTCGTCCACGGTGGAATTCGACATTTCTGATGCTCCGACGGGCGAAGAGGCTTTATATCGCATTCAACAAGTTCTGTTCCGACTAAGATCAACACCATTTTATATTGAGTGCAGAGGGGTGGCGACAGATTGACTATCTGCTTTGTATTCTTGAGCCCCTTTTCACCCTCACTACGCTAGTTTGTCGTACTAAAGTCTCGACTATCCACCTTGTCTTTACGATTTACAATAAGCTCTTCGATCATCTTGAAAGATCGATGCGTCAGCTTCGTCGAAAGAAGGTTCCCTGGAAACAGCTAATGCTTTCCTCCCTCGATGCTGCGAAAGAGAAACTGAAGAAATAATACGGCGAGACAGATGATATCGAAGGTAATCTCTATGCAATTGGGACCCAGCCTGAGATAGGAAAGGACTACAGAATGGAATACCGCGAGAGTCTTCAGTCTCTTTTTGAGAGATACAGCCAACGTATACCATCAGAGATGATACAATCTGACAGCCAGTTATTCACAACTGAATCGGAGCTTAAGAAGGCCATTGACGGCAATTCTTCACAACGATTAACTGCTCCGCAGTACGACGAGCTCACCAAATATCTCTAGAATGGTAAGTAAGTAAGCCTACTTTATGAATCATATAACTAACATTACCTAATTAGATACTATCAATGGATCTATTCGGATCTTCTAGAAAGATCATCAGAGGGAATTCCCTATTCTTGCAAGCATTACCCGTGATATCATGTCAATTCCAGCGACTGGTGCCGGAGTTGAGCGTCTTTTTAACTCTACCCGGGATGTATGCCACTACCACCAGGGGTCGTTAAACCCAGAGACTGTTCGCGATATTATGTTACACATGTATACAACAAGATTCGATATCAAGGAGCAGCGGCTGATTCTCCAAGAGTATCTTTTAGACCATGAGATAGCCGCTTCGGCCGAAACAATTGATGTCCAGACACATGCTTTCGAGGGTATTAGTGATGATGAGGAGGATATCGAGGATACAACGACTGCTATATCAATTACGCAAGCAACCCCGGACGCACCGCCACTCTCAGCAGTCGCCGCTGACAAGCGGCCTGCGGTTAATTCTGACAATGAGGAAGACTCTGATGCTGATGAATTTGGGGATCCAGATAAGAACAGGGCATCACCCTTACCTGACTTCCCTGATACGCAGCATCGTGCATCCGGTAGAATGCGGAAGAAGTCGAGACTACTGTATGGGTACATAGCTTGATTACTTGAATCTTGACTCTTCAGAACTATAACCAGACACTGCACTATAGATGTAATATAAACCATTGATAATTGATAGTTGAGACACTAATTCGAAGCTGAACCCTTGATATGCACTAAATCCTCCTGTAAGGACATACATTAATGAAGTTTTGGCTTATAATTACGAGAGAATACAATCTATTTCTACATAATTTATGCAGTTGACCCTAAGTCAGGTTTTTTACCTATTTGTCATGCTTGTTGAACTTCAGGTTCACCCGCGGGTAACCTCCATGGGGTTCGGTCCAAGATAGAACCACCCGGAGGTTCTAGGTCATGGAACATTAACCTCCGGGTGGGTGAACCTCCTTGAGGTTGGTGAAGTTCACCCGCGGCTCCTGGCCAGGTCTATTATTGGCCACTACTTTTATAGATAAACCAGCTTTATCTTAACTTGACTTTATGTATGCAAAATTGGATCTAAACACACTTCTAGCATATATCTAGGATATAGTATTAGAACATAAAATATACCGACGATATAATCTATAGAGATTTCGTTCACCTCGGACGTAGTAGCTGTCTCTTCTTTTCCTACTTAGGGATTCTTTAGTGCGTGGATAATATGTAAGATACCACGATCGTTGGTTTTAGGATACTCTAGGAGTAGAACATGCTCATGCACCTGCTGAGCGATAACAGAGGTCCTCCTATTACTATTAATCAAGATTCTATCATCGCGAACGTAGGTTAAGTTTGGACTTGAAGTATCGTTCTCAGGACCATCCTCGGTATCGTCGGCGTAGAAACTAGTGTTAGAGTCTGACGTTGATGTATTGTCGAGAATGTCTCGGTAGAGAAATGAGTCCGAAGTTGTATTGAGACTCCTTCTCGGCTGCGTATGTTAAATACGGTGGGAACAATATGCAAGAAGCGTTAATCTCAGCTTGAACGTGTGCTTCTACTCAGGATTCGATGGAAGAATAAATAGCTGCTTCTAGAACTGGATTTTGAAGCGATAGATCGCCCATTGAGGTACGATCGAGGATATTGCCTTGTATAGAGACAGGATCCACGGTTAAGTTAGGGCTTGGTGGTATGTAAAATAGTATCAGGTTGACAGAGATTTAAAAAATCTGCAAGGGAAAAATAATATTGTATAATTATGAACTTCTAGTCCCCGACAGGTCAGGGAGGTGAAGGATGTGCTAATATATCATCATTTATTGCAAAGGTTGCAAGTAAGAACCGACTTGACCACGCTTGACGTAGAGTTTCTTTTGTCATTTTGGCTTAGTCTGAGGGTTGCCCGTAGACCATTTTCTTGCTCCACAAAGGTACATGTGATGTTCTTCTTCTCTTGGGGTCACTGCCAGCAACCTCCTGGTCTAGTGTAAACCCCGTTGCCGGTTGTCGCGTAGAGAACTTCCGCCTTGGATCTTACTGGAGCAAAAGTTGAGGGTTGATATAATCGACGCACATCGCCCGGTGATGCAGCTCAGACCAAGGCTCGCCTAGGAAATTATCCTAAAACCCGGCACTTACGAGGTCGCCATGTTCGTACGTGGTATTACCAAGAAGGCAGAGGTTAGAGCATATCTCTGACGACACCAGCGAGCTATCCGTAATACCCCAGTCAGGTAGGGTAGGCCACTGTAAGCCGCTGGGGTGACCAAAATGCGGATCTGGCTGCTCAAGCACTAGTAACGTAGCTTCCGGGGCAGGGCTTTCGCTTTTCCGGTTGGTGGCAGACTCGCCGCACTTTTTGGTTTCCGGGGTGGGAGATTATGAAGCCCACTTTATCCGCGACTGGAGCCCCTTGATGGTGGACTGGTTGAGCACGGAGTGCAGCGTAGAATGGTGATGGCGCTCGATGGTTGCTAGCTCTTCGAATTTGCAACGAACGGCCGTTTCTTCACTCCCCCATCTTAGGCCAATGGCCTTGGAGATAACTTGGCCGTCGATGCGGTGGTTTTTCTGTCGCAAATACTCCTTGAAAATCCCATAGTAGGCAGCTCGGTAGAGTAAAAACGCATTCATCGGACGCGCAATCTTTCCTTTTTTCCTTGCTTCTTCCATACGATCAGCGAATGGTCGATGTACCCAACGGTGCATGTCTTTTATAGGGACATCCACCTCTAGCAGGTCACTTAGTGGTCGAAAAATAATATCTTTGACCATTGTAATAGGTAGGTCTTTTGGCGGTTCAAGTTTCCGCCCTACCTTATGGCGCGCCATCAAAAATTGATTTATGTTTCTGGTTAGTGAACAAAGTGGAGGAAGAACTTTGAGATAGATTTGAGGTCCTTACAAGAATTAAGCTGATGTAATATATCAGAAGAAGATTAACTTCGAACAGCTATTGACAGGCTTGGCTCGGCAAAAGCAGTTTCGCCAATAAATAGAGCAGGTGGGATCGTTCGATTTATTTGGTATTTGAATGAGTAACTAGTCGTTGGAAGTTTAGTCAACAAGAGGTTGGTCTGCTTGCCAAACATGTCATGACCGTCGTTTTGATGATAGCTGACATTTTTCGGTTATTCACGATACAACCAAGCTCAAGTTTTGTGTCAAGTCAGCCGATATCTGGTAATATCGCGAAATTAGTGCAAAGCTTCACCAGGCCATCACGTTAAGGTACACAATGTCTCAAAGTTTTGCTCGAACTCTACGTTGCCTATCAAAATAGCGGCCATCAATCACGCATCGCAGTTCTCAAGATTATTGTCTCCCACCTACAGTATCAATCTATAGAAGTCTGGCAACCTCGGTTGCGTGGTGCACATAGCCATTCAAAATATGCCGCTCTCCGCAGTAAAATAAACTTTCTCTCAAGCTTCGCTGTTATTGTGGTTTACGAAATTCGATAAAGATGAACCGTAGCTGCGTCATTTTGCGCGGCCTTCATTCCAGCCAACAAAACCTTTCTTTTATTTATAGGCAAGGTGCCCCCACGCATCGACACTCTGAATTCTCAATGGTTTCCACTCGTCAACATTGCTTGTCTATTGACGTCCTCCCGTGTGCTTGATCTCTCGAAACATCGTGCCGAGTCTCCTAGAGCCTCTAGCTCCCGGAAGTACATACGTGTCGGGCTCCCAGCAATAGAAGACCCATTTGAGTTTCCTGGTGGGGGAACATGCGCTGGAAGCTCATTGAATTTACTGCCCACAACTCTGACCGGGCGTACCGTGGGCCGCGGCTCGACTGGGACCCCATCAGTCTCATTTGGTAGAGACTGGCCGGACTTAAGACCGAGAATATATATCCAGGGGCGTCTCCGCGAGCATAGGCCATGCTGTGGACGATGCTTTTCGCTTCACAGCAAGCCATATTAACACTACGCAAGCTGCTCCAACAGTAGGGATCGCGACACCAACCGCGACAGGCATAATCCAGCCTTCCTCCCGAGACATGGAAGCTCGAGAGGCAGTAGTCTTCGGTTGCGAGGGCCTTTCCGATGTAGTATATGGGTACCAAGCAGGGAAGTTTTCGTGTAAGATGCACCAAACAGTGACTTGAGCTGGGGGTCTCCTCAGGATTCTGGCGCTGTTCGACTGGCGTTTCCTTTTGCTCTATATCTTGTTAGCCACGGGGCTCACAGACTCGTCAGACAAGATCAATGACCCACGTTCCTCTAATCTGCTGAGTCACCACACTTGGTACAGGATATTCCTCGACAGCGTCCGGAGAGTATGTCTTCTGAAATTCCAGATGATTGAGACTTAATGTCTGCAGGATTCCACCTTCGAGACAGACAGATGGATCCTTGTATAGGTCCCCCGCCACTAACATGTGGCTTAGTAGGACACCGAAGCATTGATGTCCACTGCGACTATGGCGAGAGCTCCCGGTATAGGCTTTGATCCACATGAACGATGGCAAGGAAAAAAAGTACACATCGTCGTAAGGGGTGGCGGAAGCATTCTGTCCGTTTTAGCCGCCGTGAATGTAAATATTGTGAGAACTGCCATCCGACGCAGAAACGAGAGTGGAGCAGAAGGAGGCACGACCGCTCGAGGGAGCATCGCCCGTGGTGTTTTGAAGGTACCTGTTGGTTGAAATAACACTTGAACTTTTGCTCACTTTCCAGAAGCCGACGGCGCACGTACCATGTATTGTGTGCAATATCGTAAATTGGAATGACAGTCATAAAGTCCGGATCGGTCAGGGACTGCGCTGAGTTAACCAATGTCCTCCCAAGGTCGGTAGAACGGGGTGATTTGCTTCACATCCTGCTCTTGCTGTGCGGAGGACAGACCGGAGGGATAAATGTCTTCTGGGTTTTTCACTCCGCCAATCACTGCGAGAACCCTGCTGGGAAACCGGTCTCCACACCACTTGCGGATTCGCTCGGCTCGCAACATAGTTTGGTAGTGTCAGGTTTCGCCAAAGTTTATGATATCCAGTGGCTGTCAGATTCGCTACAATCAATGTATTCGCCGATGTATTCGCTGACCCATCGTCCGAAGTGATGGGGCCCCAGTCCTGACCTCGCATGCCACCAAAATAAAAAGCTAGGTCCTCGCCCGGCATAGATGCTAGGCCCCCATCTCTGACATAGCGAGTCATACTACTTGATACGGTAGATTTCGAAAACGGCTTCCCCTTAGAACACTCACGGCTTGTTTCTCGGCCCGTACCCGAAACCACACTAGTTCGAATTTGGATTTGGTATTGATCATCCTTGGCTCACAATGCATGTTAGCTTACCACTAGTCCTAATTTAGGCTAGTGTGGTTCCGGGTACGGGCCGAGAAACAAGCCGTGAGTGTTCTAAGGGGAAGCCGTTTTCGAAATCTACTGTAACGAGGAATTGAAGAACGACCCTTCGTCATGACCCGAGCCCCCATCCAGATATCTATATCCAAGGACCTCTCTCGCGCCAGGAACATCTTCGCTGTCCATTGGCTGGGTTGATCCTCTAGCAAGGTGCTATTAGAACAAGGCTCGTGGAAGGGAGCGGCATTATTGTGCTAACCCGTAGTGGATTATTTGTCGGTTATTTCCAAACATCGCACCACTTTCAAAGTTTGGCTGGGTTGTGGTTAGGTTGGGCCACTTTGCGAACAGACTAGATAAGTTGCTTGTTTCAATGTTGAATCGATTAGCGAGTGATATGCTATAGAACGTGTCCCCAGAGTTTCCTAGTTGGAACAGTCAGCTTTTGTTCGCGATGCATTGTCGTAACAGCTTTCGGTTACTTGCCGTCGCTTGCTGGAATGCCGTATGATCCATCGGAATATCCACTTAGAAAGAGTCAGTAATAGTGATAAGGACCCGGCATGACGAACCTCTGCCACCACAAAGAACCACCGTTCAACATGATAGTTTGCCGGGTCTGGAAGCCTTTGTCCGATCAGTACGTGTGCGGGAGATCCATACCCTGATACGGTGATTTACCACGAAATCCGTTCCAATTGCACATCGTGGAGTTGATTTGTGCTGTCTATGACTGTGCAACAACTGTAGGGACTGAAAGACACGCACCAATTAGCCATTTCAATACGAAATATTTTTGCGCCATTTCTTGTCCCTTTGGGATAGATTCGTGGTTGTCCCCGGCCGGGGTGATGACACATAGGAAAAGCTGGAGATCGTATTTATGACGTGTTGCTACATAACCGGCCTTTACATTTTTTTACCAAAATTAGAAACCCTCGCAAGCGAGCAATCTAAACTCAATATCGCGAGAATTGCGCGAGAATTCGCGGGTCCTGTAAACCAACTACACCACCGATGGAAAGGAGGAAAATCGCTTTTTCAACGATAACCCAATGGCCGTAAGCTTAGCTCTATAAGAGCTTTATGGGATTATATCGACTACTTTGACACGGTCGGAGCCTTAATAAACCGGCGCCAAATTGCTATACCAGCTAATTTAATTCTTGAAGAAGACTACTATAACGAATCTATAGCACCACTAAAAATTGGCGACCACTAGCTATTAGACTGCGATATCGCCCGTCCATGGGCACCTAGGAGGTGCCATCGCCCGTCCACGGTGGGCGGTGGGCAATTAGGATTTTCGAGTGCCCGTCCACAACGCCCATCGCCCATGGGCATGCCCACCACTATATAAAAGTCACCTAAAATAGATATATAACTTAGTAATATAGTAGAGTAGTGTTGGACGCGATTAATTTATTATTACTAGGCTCCTAAAAAAGAACCTATTTAATGGATCTGTCACTAATCGTGAATCTGTTACGGTTTTGGAGGCTGTTTCGGCCGATGGTTTTTCCTACCACTTATAATTCCAAGTGCTAAGTAGGCATTACTACGCTGGTTTGACGCTATTGAAGGTGACGAGTATATATCTGTAACTAATGGGTATGTCAATGATACTCTAGATTCTAGAGTCTAGAATCTCAGTGGATTCAGCTCTTCTATAAATGGATAATTGGTCGAACAATTAGTAGAAAAAGGCTTGCTTACTACGACCGTTTTGGATCGTATTTACGTTTAACACGCTAATTCGTCGAATTTTGTGAGAAAAATGAAATCATATTATTCTTCTTACTCTCGTATACTAGGTAACCGTGCCAAGCGCCCAACCACCCATACCAGGGGTTGGTGCGCCCCACCAGATACCAGATTTTCTCAATTTTATCAACTTCCCATACATTTTTATACCATACCACGATGCCAAATTCAACCGAAAACATCGAGGATCGAATCCAGGAAGCTGTCAAAGCCTTCCACCAAGCCAAGAAGCCTAATATCGCCAAATTGGCCCGTGATTTCGATGTTTCATCTGATCGGCTCCGGGGCCGAATTCGTGGGCGCCAGTCTAATGCCGACCGTGCTAAATCAACCAGAAGCTTGAATTTAATTCAAGAATAGGCACTCACTAGCTGGATTCAAATCCTAGATAGTGCATATATCTCACCTATCCCAGAGATGGTTGAAGGGGCTGCAAATTCCATCTTAAAAATGGCTGGTGAAGATCGGGTTGTTGGCCACAACTGGGCATACCGCTTCCTCCAAAGACTACCCCCCGAATTGAACTATATCCTCCAAAAACCCAAGGAAAAATTGAGGGTGGAGAGCGAGGATTACGGTGCTTTGCTACTTTGGTTTAATAACCTAAGAGAGGTTATAAACCGGCATCAATTCCTACCACATGAGATCTTCAATTGGGATGAAACCGGCTACCGAATTGGCCAAGGCAAGCAACGTAAGGTTATTACCTCTCGTGCAACTAGCGATATCGCCACTGGGGGTCAATCGGAGTCTATTACTAGCATTGAATGCATTAATGCCGATGGTTGGGTGATGCTGCCTTAGTTTCTCCCTAAGGGTAGTCTTCATATGGCGGAGTGGTATGAAAGCATGCCTAGTTCTACCGATCTTCGTATTAAACCTACCCCCAATGGTTGGATTGACGATGAAACTGCGCTTGAATGGCTTTTTTCCTTTGATGCAGCTAGTATAAAACTAGTCCAAAAAGGCAGGCCAAGGCTACTTCTTATGGATAATCATGGTTCCCATACAACCTTTGAATTCGTCGATTTTTGCAGGAAGAACTTCATTATCCCACTCTACTTTTTACCCCATACCACCCATCTCTGCCAACCGCTAGATGGTCAGGCTTTTCAAAGCTTAAAACATCATTTTCGTGCGATGAATAATGAGGTTATGATGTGGGGTGGAAGTGTATCTAAAAAGCGGGATCTTTTTAGGATGATCCTAGAGATTAGGAAGCAAGCTCTCACACAGAGAACCATTCGATCTTCTTTTAGATCTAGGGGTATTTACCCGCTAGATCCAGAGCTTGTTCTTAGTCCTCTACGCCAAAGATATCTCGAAGCTGAAGGGTCCCCCCTTAGGATTTTCACGCCATCTCCCCCCCCCCCCCCCCCCCCAGACTTTACAAGCTCTGTCACCAATTCGCCACCAGATACAATTGAGCGGGTTAAAAAGCTTAATACTAAGCTTGTCATTGATATGGAGCATCTACAGAAGAGCGTACAAAGGCATGTTCAACGAAGTATGAATGCAAATACGCTTTTATCTCAACAGCTTGAATTGGTCAAGGCCGATTTAAAGAAGTCTCGGTCCCACAAATCAGATGCAAACCAGCCGAGAAATAAGAAGTCGATTCTTGGATCTAAGGGCTCAGTGCTATGTGCAAATAGGATGATGGTGAAAAGACAGGATGCTGATTCTAAGAAGTTGAAGCGCTTACAGGCAAAGCATGCCAAGGAATTGGCAGCGCAGCAGAGAGCTCAGGAAGCGAGGGATTTAATTGAAGCTGAGCATGAAGCTTCAATGGCGGCAAGAGATAGTATTGGTGCAAATTGGTATATATATAGTCATGGTGGTTACATGTAAATAGTATTTTCATAGTTGAACAAATTGAAAATCTGGTATCTAGTGAAAATCTGGTATCTGGTGGGGCGCACCAACCCCTGGTATGGGTGGTTCGGCGCTTGGCATGGTTATATACTATATCCTCTCGATGTCGGCGTGTTTAGCATGTATAAACACTAGTATAGTGAGGCTATTGAAGCCGCTATAATGACCGGATGCCGCAAACTCTGTACGGATGAATTCCTACACTTAATGGGAGAAATCAGACGAAAGACCTTCCGGCCGAATATAATTAAGCTTAGATTTAAATTAACTGGCCTCTAGCCTATTAATCCTAAGCTTATTACGGATGAATTGAAGTCGTACGATCTATATCATAATATTTTACCCTGGTCGAATACACCCTTAACCACCTTAAAAAACACTAAGTTCAGCTCTCCAAAAACCGCTAAGAAACTGAGAAGGACTAGCTGCCGGCTTAATTAGCATAATCTAGATACTCAGAGCTTTAGAAATGCTTTAATAAAGCTTTAAAAGGGGTCTGAAGCGCAAGCTACATTAGCTTACCAGCTACAGCGGGAATTCGATTCAACACAAGCTGTTATAGGTGCTCGCTACGCCCGGTATAATACTTATCGACGCTATACTCAAATAACTTGCATTATCAATTCATCTTAAGTCAAAGAAATGAAGCGAAAAGTATATAAATTGACTGAGAAAGTCGATCAAGAAACAAACGAAGCGGAAGTGGAGGAAGGTGTTGATCGAGATTAGGAAGCATGGACGAGCCAAAAAACGTAGGGGAAATTGATCTGATCCTGTATACTAGTAGTAAATTGGTTAATTGATTTGTTTACGATTTTTAATTAAATAATTTACTACGTGATGGTATACTAAATGGTAGTCAAAGTAAAATGTAAAAAAGAAGTACGGTTTGGGTGGCGGACCCTCGCTTGCGAGGGTCTGTAATTTTGGTAAAAATTCTAAGGGCCGGTTAGTTCGTGGAATAGGTTGGTCTTTGCACATCAAATCGGTAGGTTCCCACTCTCTTAGGCAGCTATTGGCGTAATGCTATTTGTACAAGAAATCCGCACTGCAAAGGAAAGGCCCTAGCGGTCATTCCATGTCTTTCCCACACTATTAATTATTAGGATTAATCTCTACATTATGCTACTCTCGGCTTATCCTGCGCGACGTACGCTTAAGGAGCCGGGACTGAAGAAGGATAGCGGTGATCATTCTTGCCTGAGGGTGAGCTCGAGCCGTCAGACCGTCTAGACGATATCAAGAGAAATTATGCGCGGCGGGAAAGTATGCATCTTGGTTCAAAAAGCGTCTCTTAGTATGATAAGGCTAGGCTAGGATGCTGCTTCCGATAGCGGTTCTTGTGCTGAAGGCGGTTCTCATTCAGATACTTGGCAACCAGGCTTTGAATCTGTGGAGGGGGCTGTTGCACCTGCTGTGTCGAAAACCCGCTGGACGAACCCATCATTCTATTTCGACGACGCAAAGTCAATACGCTCGAGACAGTAGGCGTAGCACTTTCGGGTCGACCGGGGCTCTGCGGTACGACAGTAGCAAGTCGGCTATCTGCCCGCGTCGTTGATAGATCGCGACTTCCCGGGGAGACCGGGAGAGACGGAATAGATGCGAATGGATTCCCAGAACGGATACACCGGTTCATAAACTCTGATCTAGGTTCCAAAGGTAGAGGCGTATAAAACACATCTTTCAGTGGGAATAGACGCCCATCCTGAAGTTTGACAGAAAATTGAGCCTCCAACAGCTCTTTCTCAACCTCCAGGGTAAGTTGAAATTCAAATTCAGATTCCTTCGTTTCAGACCCAAGCGGAAACATTTCTTCGTGCGGAAGCGTTCCGGAAAATCTTCCTAGTTTGGATAAACGGGAGAGAATCGACTTCGTGGCCGGATATGTTATAGCACATTTCCATTCAATAAGGTTATTCCGCCGGATGTGCTTGCCAAATGTTTCCAAATTGGCGGGAGTGGCGTACAAATCCGTCTCGATTTTACGGTCGCCTTCGTCTATCGAATGAGGTTGGATGTCTTTGATGAATCGCAGACAATCGGGCAGCTTCTTAGGATCTTGACCCTGCGAGCAGTCAGTCAAAGCGCCGATAATCTGCCAGCTCTCGAGATAGGGATTCCCACCTTACGTAAGATCCAACCTATGCCCTTGTGCCAATTTCCAGACTTCAAAGGGTTTCCACTTCTTGTATAGTATCCGTCGTAGGCCAGGCCTAAATCTCGTGTGATAACACACTCTTCAACAACAGGGCTGCGAGCGTAGCAGAGCGCCCCATGTGCTATAATCTCAGGCCTGAAAGCAGCGGTAAGACAGTTTTAGTAGCTTTCCGATGGGAGCAGAGCATTGTTAACCTACCTCAGTACCCGATTGCAGATTTCGATGCCAGTGCTATGCAGTATTCTCTGGGAAAACTCTTGGAAAAACCACTGGTTTTCCCCGACACCACCGCAGACCACTACAGCATTGACGGGATGCCCAGCAGCCATCGCTCTCTCACACAGGTCTTCGACTAGCCTCACGCCTCCTGAAATCAAAGGCTCGAAGAATGATTTCATGGCATCTCTAGAAGGAAGAAGGACGTTTATGAGCTGTTGTTGATGACGAATCGAAACTATAGCGGGAAGCCTCCGACGTCTCTCGATCGGGAAAGTGGACTCACGAGGGTATAGTGACGGTGCTGCCATTTCCATCAAAAATCTCGTGGTCAGACTGACCAGTAAATGCGCGTTTGCATCGATCAAAAAACGGGGATATGTTACGGGTCCATTGAATATCACAATTCAGTGCATTCCAACCTAGGCGCTTTTCTTTAAGCCACTTGCGCGCAATTTCATTGATCATTTGTCCTCCACCGGGAAATCCTATTGATCATCAGCGATCCGGCTAGCTTTGACATCGTGAATAAGGGCAAAGACCATTGCTTGCGCAAGCCTGCTTTATCTGGCCCGTGCTATCCTCATACACAACGGCATCCTATACAGACTGTCAGTGTAAAAAACGTAGGAAGGATCGTCGAGGACATCATACGACGGTGGCGCCGCCGAAGTCAATGATTAATTTCGCGCCGGGTGGCAGCTCGAGACGTGTCTTGGATTTGATGTAGTGGGCAGCCGCCCAGGGCTCCGAAACGCCCCCCATGACATCCAGTCCGACAGCGGAGGCCTCTTGGCGAAGAAGAAGTCTCAAAGACTCACTGCAACTAACCGGATATGTGAGATAGCATTTTATCGCATCAAAGCTGCCGCCGTATTTCTGTTGAAGGTGTTGTTTGGCTGTGTCTCGGATATGCGAGAAGAGCTTCCGAAAAGGGGTAGCAGCGCTGACACTTTCTAGTTGTGGAGCGGATTCTTGGAGCCGCTCACACGCTTTGGCTAGCATATGGGCATATGGCTCCAAGCCCATAGCGCCGAGTTTCCATTCTGTGAAGACATGAGCACCAGAAAACGATAAGCCATTGGAACCGAACATCCAGACTTGTCCATTTTCAGAGAATACTAGGGTAGTATCGAGTTCTGTGGTCGTTTTCTTTCTGTCATCACTGCTTAAAGGGAACTCCAGGGCGTAGTCGACCGAGTCGGGGGAATCGGGATTCTCGGATAGGAAGACCTTAGCATAGGTTGTTCCAATATCAATCGCAAGCAGAACTACCTCGGGCGCTTGTTCACTGCACGATTGGGCCATCACGGCGTGAGAAGTCCGTAATTGTTAGGTTAGGTGGAGGCGTTTGTTACCGCTCCCACCGGACTCGTCCGCGAATGCTCACGTGACCGGCCCCTTTTGGCACATTTTGTCTAGAGGCTGCTGGATCAGAGGAAAGCAAAAATGAAAATAAACAAAAAATAAACAAATAAAAAATCGGGGGAAATCGGGGGAAAAACTGAAAGAAGCTTAGGCCCGGGCAAAGATCAACTGCTATAGTCATCTTCCGCCTGAACCCTGCAGTCTCGTCACTAAGGCTGATATTGATAGGTATATACGGGTGTTTCCCTTCCAACCAGCCCTGCTGGTCTGTGGTGTAGATCCCTTTTGTATCTTGTAACTATTTGCCCCGTATGGTGGATGGTTGACTATGTACAGGAGATGATGCGGTGGAACCCAATATGGACCGAAAATTGGAAGAACCCCTGCTTTGTTTTTAGGCCCTCTCTATCGGGTTAGAAGTACAATAAAAGCAAAACCACGCAAATTGCAAAATGCAATGAGTATTTTCGAGTTCTTTGGAGAGACTCCACGAGCATAAGGGAGATGCTGAAGGGGATTCACTCTACATCCATGGAGTTGGTAGTAGACCTCATTAAAACATTTAGAGGGCCGGCATCTCCCGCCCTCCGCCCGACCCTCGCGGGCGGAGGGCGGATACTTACCTACTCTCGCCCGGCCCTCCGCCCTCATTTGCATAAAAAGAAGTTGACCTTTCCTAATTCGGATGTATAATTCCTAATTTATATGTATAATACTGCTGACTTCTCCTATTATTTCATAATATTCTATGTTTGTTATGTTTGTCGGCCCTCGAAATGTTCGGAGGGCCGCCCTTAGAGGGTAAGCAAATAACCCGCCCGGCCCGCGGGTAGGAGTAGCCCGCCCTCCGCCCGCAAAAGTGCGGGTCTGTGGGCGGCCCTCAGAGGGCGGCTCGCAGGCGGTTATGAGGTCTAGTTGGGAGATCTGTGGTAGGGGATTCGGGACTTGGATGGAAGTCAGGGTTTCTGAAGTTCTGAACTGTCCAGAGTTTAATCGTTTTCAAAAAACACGAGGCAATTAGCACCTTGCGGTCGATTAAACCCAGATGGTCAGGTGTTTTCGCTAATCCACTTATCAATACACAATAACTATAGCCGAATGAGGAATATCCCTAGACTTGAGAATCTAGCTAACTAGGCACTGGCTTAGGCATCTTAGTCACAGTTAGCCCCAGCTTTGTCGCAAACACTGCAAACAATTTGTGTAAAAATATGGCAACGTTTATCAGCAATGAATATAGTTAATATTAGTGTATAATTAAAAAGGTATAGTTATACAAAACCTAGTCAAATATATATATTACGTGCAATTTCTGTTTAGTAGCCCCAATGGGCTCGAAATTGCACAAAACTATAGTCTTGGCGTTCATAAAACCGCTTAGTTATTAGTGCTGTAATCACTGTATCTTAGCTTCTACTGGTCGCATTTAATTGAAAGTTTATATATAAATAAGAAAAGTGCTTTTTACTATATAAATAAATTTGAACTTAATACGACCGGTAGAAAGTGAGAAAATAAGAAAAGGAATAAAATGTGTATTTTGAAAGGGGAGATATATCTTTACTATATACGATAAAACTACTATTTCCTATAAACCTCTGTAATTTATTTGACCTCCTAAACTTATTACTTTCTTTATATTTAAATTGTAATTTATATATTTAACTATCTATCTATTCTATAATTTTAAAAGGCTTAAAAACAGGCCCTAAACATACTGTAATTTTCATAAATCATGTGATTCCTCTGTTTGCACTGTTTAGTCGTTAAGGGGAGGGGGGGCTCGTCGAGCACCCCCCTTGGAGCTTTGGGCCCAAGCCAAAAGCCCGAAACCCGCTGCGAGCTTTAGAAATAGGATCGAAACCCGACCCTTTTGAGGGTCGGGTCGGGTCGGGTTTCGGGTTTTGCGAGCTTTGCGGAAGTCTATTGACACCTTGACACCTTGACACCTCAAATGTAAGTAAACTCTGCAAACGAGTTTCAACATACATCGGCTGTATAGAGTGAAGTCTGGGCTCACTGAACTGCATGCCACTATAGTTGTGTAAAATCAAGGATCGGCCTTGGGAACTCCGGAATTTACGTAATTGCCTCAAAAAGCTATTGGACGGTGGCCTCCAACCTTCGGTCCACCGGCAGACCGGTTCTTAGATTCAAAAGAATGGCAATTTATTGAGATCGAGCATCGCTTAGCACGGGTCTAGCCTTCGGATGCTCCATCCGCTAGCAAGGCGCAACCTTGGCCGCGACAAGGATATAACTAATCGGACTGGAGACCAGGGTTTGCGAAGGTTTAGTTCCGATGGCACGGTCTCCCCCTTGCCGTTTGCCATAGTATAGGGGCTATGTATAGTCCGTGATAACAAGCTATTTACCTTTACCGATATAACAGGCTGATTTGCGCTCCTTAAACTAGCATCACGGGGCATCGCGGGCATGAATCAGTAAAACGTAGATTAAGCCCCCGCGACGGAGATAATTAAGCGACTCGGCCCCCAGAATTATCCGAAGTCGCCATGATCTTGAAGTTCCTTAAGACACGATCAATTCTGCCTACATACAACCCAAGCCGTACCTTGTACCTTGTACCTGATACCCAGTGACGCAAATCGCCAATATACCTCAATCAAGGGACCAAGCAAGTGAACAGATCTTGGTAATTATAAAGTACCAAAAGTATGGAGCTATCGACCATATTGCGAGATGTGGAGAGATGGCCGATCGGCCTGTCCGGTAGCTCGTCTAAACTGCTTATTCCACATGCGGGTACTAAGGCTGACTCTGGCCAAAGCCGAGGGTCTTGCTTGGAGTTAAACGCGACCATCTGCTGCGTTCGGCCATCCCCCTCGCTCACTGTCTCGATTGAAGACGTGAATCGAGCCACATCTATAGTCGCATTCTCGCTCTACACGACAGCGTTGTGTTTCCTTAGTCAAGTAAACAGTAGCGTGAAATGTTGTTCTTTGCAATCATAGGATAGCCGTTGAGTCTTTGACCATAGAATGGCCGCGGCTCAGTGGCGGACCGAGCGTACCCTGCCGTTAGTCTCTAAAAGTGACATACACAACATCCCACGTTTTGAAGCTTATCTTTTTCTCGCACCATCATTTTACGATCGGCGGCCTAAGTAGGCCTAACTACGAAGGCTGATCTAAGTTTCTCAAAGCAAACGGCTTTGTCCCCATGTCTCAGAACCCTTGCTCTCGAATATCCGATTACATCCGTTATCCAATTATAATTTCAGGGGCCTGGCTCCCACGACGTAGCCCCACCTCTACTGCAAGTTGACTGCGCAATTGACTGCGGAGTGAATCCCAAATTTTCAGATGCCCTACCAAAGGTATGTCATTCGGCGGCTGTGTCAGGGGTAGATCCGGTCCATTTTTTTTCACTTTGATCTTCTCCTCTTTTAATTTCAATTTTAATTTATTCCATTTTTTCATTTGCTCTGCAACTTGGTTTACAAGAAACTGAGCCTGTATTGTCACGACTACACTTATTAAAGGGCACGGATGAGGAGGCAAGTGCCGGTTCAACATCTTGGGGAATTAGAAATCGATCGCTGTCCACACAAAATCCATCTCCTGAACTATGGACCCAGCTCGGTCGCCACCAGGCGTGATCGTTTGGAGACGTTGAGCCTGGGCCATTAGAGGTATGCTTTCAGCCACCGGGCCCCGCAGCAGCGAATTAACGACCTCCCTGCTTATTTGCCACTGGTTGACTAGCTAGCTACCCCAAAGTGGTCCCTATCTGTATCGCCTTATTCGCTTTTGGGGGGAATATGAGGTAGGATAGGAAGATGTAAATCAATTCTCATCAAAACGATGAAGTTGGCACGGTAGGGAAATCGAAGCTTCCATACCACGTTTTCTTTTTCGATCACGTTAGTGTGCGCCGGAAGGGATGGCCTAGGACGCCCGGTATCTGATATCAATGGCTAATTAGCCTCAACCAAGCACCCCTGTCGTGGAGCTAATATATGAATGCTCGCCAAATCCCTCTAGTAAAGACCCGATCACACCCTGGAGAGCCATTCACAGCACACTGTTTTAGTAGGGACGGGATCTCAGAGTTGATGAAGTGCTATAAAGCGTTGGCATGGACCATGTCTCTACAATCACCTCTTTTTTACACTACACACCACGATGGCTGGACAACAAACAAGGGCAAGGAGAGAAAATCCGCAGCCACAGCGCGAGAATGACGATATGCCACTGCTCCAAGAGCAAGGACTGTCTCCACCACCATACAACACGCGAGATTCCACCCAGAGTGCACCGCAGGATATTCCTATGTCTGGCACTGGCACCGGCTTTGTTCCCATCGATCCCATATTCCATGAGGCCCCTCCCCCCACCTACGGCACTGTGCTTGAAGAGATCAAACAAATTTTCGCCTTCAACTGTGCCTCTTATCTATACGTTAGTATAAATCATCTCCGAGCGTGCGCTTCTAGATGCTAATGTGTCATAAGCCTCATCTGAAAAAAGGCCTGACAACAGATCCACAGATGAGATCCACAGTATTCTTCGCCCTGGGATCACTTTTTGAAGCTGATATCAATGACCAGAGCGATGGAAGTAACAATGAAAATATTCTCAATGACAATGAGAACAATGGATCCCAGCCTTGAAGAATGATGGAAAAGGCCAGCCAGGATAAAAAGAGAGATCGACAAAGGACGGGGGATTGTTGTATACGTTTGTCGTATCAGTTTAGAAATTGCGTGCGTGGTATTTTGTTTTTATAATAAGTGATGTTTTTGGCGCTATTTGCAATTCCAATCAATGCACACTTATTCAAATCATTTTGATAGCCTTCGCTCCCGCTTAGAATCCTTATTAATTTGATCTTTCCACCTGAGACATCAGAGCATTGAATCTCATACGCTCCGTTTTATCACGCTCGTGTGGTATCATAGGGGTAGATATGGCGCAAAAAATAAAAAAAAGCAAAAAAAGAACGAAAGAGGCGAGTAAATTCTCTTGACGTGAAGGGATATAAGGTCCCCCCCCCCTTTTCCTTTAGGCAGCCGATCACTGCATTATTGAACAAACACAGATTTTGGAAGGATTACATATCACCCTTTCGCCTATAAGCACTTTATAGACGCGTTCGAACCCCACAGTGGTGATGGGTCGCATGCACACATTAACCACATAGCATCTCCATTCAGCCTCCGCAACAGTAGCAGTCTAACCCGAGATCAAACCGCTAGCTTTCAGCGCCAATTAGTCTCTAGTTGGTCTATGACCAAGAGGCGCGTCTGCTAGATATTCATGGCTCAAAGCCATTGAAGCAGCTTAGAGCCTTGGAGCGAATAGCGTCCCGTCTGGAAATCTAGGATTAGGTACTAGGGGTATACAGTACTTCCCCAAACTGGTGTCACCACCTACACTCTTCGATCGTTTCTCTAACCCTAATACCAAGATATTCTACACCATATTAAGGATAGACTCGGATTATTAATATTCCTGACTGGTGACGCGCGCTGCGCACGCTGTGGCCCTGAAACGAACCGACCGAAAAATTGATGACAAGGGTGAGTGATAACATGAAGGCGGAAACTCTTGGTTTTGATTCAGGGGCAGAAAGTTAAAATCTTCCTAAAGATAAGCCAATTATATGCATACGAAGTCGGGTAGTACAGCGCGGATCAGAGTATGATTGGTTGATAATGCATGCGGAAATATGCCCATAAAGTCAGAGTGAATTGAAGAACGGCCACTCAGAGCAGGGGTTTTACGAGTATTTCATGGTCTGTCTCATCTGAAGCAAGAAAGACACTAACTTGTAAGAAGGACGTACGTCATTGCACTATTCTAATACGATCACGACCTATATGTTTGAAGCCCCATGCCATGCAGCAATCGTCTCTAGTTCGAGTTTCTGGAGTCTTTCCATTTCAGTTAGCAGTTGAGGATCAGGACCGAATCGAAGGTCTTGCATGTCGAGATTCTGAAGGAGATGAAGGCCTTTGGAGGACCGAAGTCGAGATAGCTGCACATAGGTCGAGCAATATTTCCGGTGACGATCTTGTCCTCGGATAGTGGGGTCATCTTTGAGGTCAAGGATCGCAGCTGCGAGTGTCGAGCCTTGCACTTTGTAGTCGGTAAGGCAGAAAGCCGGGCACATGGGAACTTGCTTCCTTCGTACCGAGTAGCCTTTCAGGGTAATAGATCGTTCTAAAGGGAAGACTGGCATGGCTGAAGGCTCAAGGTCTTGAAATCCGGTATCCTTTGACCTGTTCGGTTTAAATATAACGCAGGACGGTGGTTTAGTGCACATGATATAGAGGTAGTCGATTTCAAAGAATTCGGCTGGTAGGGAAGGGTTAGGCTGTTGGGTTCCGGACCGTTCACGGAAAGATCAACTCACCAGTCGGATCGACCACGATGCCTATGGCAGTCCCCGTAGCTCCGTTGACCAGGCCGAGAAGAGTGCAAATGTTAGTTAAGATGACGGCAGGCATGTTTGGCGTGTATAGAAAGAGCCCCGGGAACGGGATCTTGGTACCTTGGTCGGGCTGCTGGAGTAAGTCATCTGCACGGAGTCGCAAGTTCATTGGGCCAGTGGACTTGGTCCGCGTGTGAAGCGCGGGAAATATATATATGTTCTGGCATCGGGTCCGGGCGAACTCTTCTAATCGAACGCGGTTCACCTGATGTCGCAGAGAGTTCAGCTTAACTACGGTGGTAGCATTTTCTAGTTGAGGGCTGACCAGGGATGTGACTGTTTTGCTGTTAAGAAACGATCGATCGGCTTCCGTTAAAGTGCCTGTCCTGGCTCGTGATAGCAGATCGCGGAATGGAGCGTCTTCTTCCGCCTGTCTCATTTGCTCATCCAAGATGATTACCTCTTTGAATTGATGCCAGAGTAACCGACCATTATCTTCCTCATCTATGCCCCTTCTTGGTTCCCTCCACAGTGCTGGGCCCAGAACAGGCGGAAACTGGAAAAAGTCACCGATAAAGATGACGACAGGAAGGCCACCGAAAAGGTCAGGGGAGGATCTGTCGAGGGCTTTGGCGATCTTGCATTGATTATCAATTACGCTGATCATACGTAGATCCATCATGCTGACTTCGTCCACGATCATGATAGTCTTGCGAGACCAGAGCCGTCTCACTCTGGATTTCATACCGGTTTTACGTGAACGGTCAATGGATATCCCTAAAGATGTATGGTACGTATTTCCGCCGATGTTATCGGCCGCGGCACCCGTCGGTGCCATGAGGATCACTTCGTCCTTTCGTCCGACAAGGTTCATACCAGCGACAATTGCCTTGACAATCTGGCTCTTACCTGTGCCACCTTCACCTCCAACATAGAGGAGAGTCTGCTTGCGCTGCGACGAATCATAAGGGTGATCAGCCCAGGTCAAAGCTTCAGAGAGCACCCTCTCTACTACCATTCGTTGTTTCCGATTTAGGGGAATCTCCTCGTTGATCAGGGACGCAAGAGAGGCGCCAGTAGGATTCTGGCCAACTCGGGATTGGAGATCATCCGTAGCAGGGATAGTGTCTGAGTTAGCTAGCGTAGGATGCAGGATGCCATCTTCAACCTGGATGTCAAAGTCGTCAAGTGCAAATCCAAAAGTCCCAGCATCACCATCCGTGCTCTCTTCTGGACTAATATTGACGCAACATTTTAGTTGAAACTCCCATGCTTGTAAAGTAGATGGTGGGAGGAACCTTAGCCCAGAAGATTCGTATGCTGGAGGGTTGAAGATGTCTAGCGGCTGGAGGTTCTGTAGTGACAAGCTGCGCGTTCGGTCTATCGTGTGGAGCAAGGCAGGGATCCGCCGGCCCGTGACCAACGTCTCTCGATGCCATGCTTTGCTAATGGAGTAGTATGCAGCGATCAACGTCTCCGCATTGAAATTCTCATCCTGCAGGTGGAAGAATTCTTCGGTCTCTTCGTCATCAGAACCAAAATTGGCGGGCTCAAAGTCTTCAGCATCATGGTGAAATGAGTCGGCAGTGCCGTTTGCAGACTTCCACATTTTTGCATCGGCTTGACAGTCTTCCTTGGACTTTCGCAGTAACTCGATATTTCTTGCAAAGCCTCGGTTGTGAAATGTGAGGGTTGGTTCCACAGCCGCCCATATTTGAACGCAAGTGTCCGTTCTTTTCGTAGACGGTCGGAAGAGGTTAATCAATTGATCCCAGGGAACAAAGAGCCCCAATAATATCTCCGCTACGTCGTTCATGATCGCGGTTGTTTTTGGATGACCTCCTGGAACCGCGTCTTCTGCGGGCTGGAATTCGGTTAGCTGTCCATTGAAAGTCACGGTGGCCACTTGTGATGGGGTGCGCGCCAGGCGCTGTACATGCGTGGCATATCTCGGGTGGTTTGGGTCGAAGTCCACGTCGTCAGCAATGGCATCGCGTACATCCTTTGCCTTGACAAGCATGCAGTATTCAAATAACGCAAGAGGAGCCAGGTGTGGTCCACGCCATTTATAATTGTCAAAGATGCTTACGGGGGCGGTGTCGCCCGTTTCGTACGCGCAAGGTTCTTCTGCCATGGGGTCAGAAGAGTGACTACTTTGAAGGCCGTCTGGCTGAATGATCGTCCGGATATAGCGCCTTAGCCACCAGAGGTTGATGCGAATGAAGTTGTAGTTGATCGTGTAATAGGTTGGTAGTTGAAGTAAGACGCTGGCGACCTGCACACCACTGATCTCCCGGTCATGAGAGAGAGCATTAAAGCAGCGTAGTGCAAAATTCTTGACACCCTTTTCTCGAAGTCGCAGGTCTATCGCTGTTGGTGGCTCAGCAACTTTTGCCTTCTCAATGGATTGCTTCAACAAAGCCGCCTTGGCCACCATCTGCCAAGGAGAGACGTCATCTTTCGTGGCGTAGTTGGTGATATAATAGATCAGCGACAAAGATTTGGAGACTGTTGGAATCCAAGAGATGTCGTGATTAGAACGGACACAACTAGCAATGGCGGGATTCCATGGGTTTATCCAGGCGTGGTTTCGAGCGAGGTGGATCAGTCCAAACTCATCTATCTTAGAGACGGGAACCAGATCTCGGGGCATGCCAAATCGACATGCATTCTTTCCGGGTCCCGTTTGCCGGTACTTGAAGCATGTGGCGAGATGGTGTTTCGAATGGACTTGCGTTTTACGAGCGACACAATTGCTGTCATGTGATAGTCGAAGATGGAAGTCTTCATCGGATTCGAAATCTTTGGCCGAGGGTTGCGTGCAGGGAATGTTCACTTCAGGGTCGTGTGGAATACTTTCGTCAATGCCTTGCATAATGATTGACTCTAGGTAGTGAAGCATACGAGCCGCAAAGTTGATGTCCTGGAGGAGCCGGTCACGCAATGTAGTGAAAGTTAAGTTACCTCTCGCCCACGCTAATCCATGGAGATGTAGCATACCTCGGCCATTTGTCTCTACAACAGCAAAATGGTTGGAGAGGTCACCAAGGATCCCGATCTGGCCCGTATTGGTAGCAAGAAGGCCTTCCAGGATGGCTTTGCAGACGTGATGGAAGAACTCAGCGACAGCTGCCGGGTTAGAGGTAGCAGCAGCTTCACGTATAGCGGCATTTGCTGCGGGCAAGTTGTTCCCAGAGTACTCTACACCGGCCAGGATCAGGACGAGCGGGTTCCGTAGGTCGGAGGGGTTGATGGTGATTCAAAAAGCGGGCATGCCGTATCGTGTAATCAGCCCTCGAATTTCAGAGCGCAATCTGAGTTTCTGAGCAAAGGATCCTGGGACCTGCATGCCGATAGCCACGATATTTCGTAGCAGTCGTCGAATGATTGAATCCTCAATTTTCTGGCCCGTTGCAACCGTCTTCGCTGCATTCTGGAGTTGGCTCACTGTCAGAGATGTGATGTCCTTGGTTGCCGACTGCCAATTCTGGCGTTTGATGAGGAAGGCGTTGCCTATTGACGACTTTCGGAGCTGGATCACATCATATAACAAGTACATGAAGGTTTTATGGCGTGCGAACCTACGCGGATTAGTATAGACGTACCCTCATTGACAGAGTGGAGGCACCTTCTACTATGGTGGCTCAAAGCCCACTCGGCATAAGCCCCAAGTGACACCGGGATAGTTCGCTCGTCCAGATGGCCCCCAATCCCGACGGGGAACAAGGTTGGGAAAGCGGCGGTAAAATAATGGGGATCTGACCAGTGGTCCACTAGGGTGGCTTGTCCATGGATTTTGTAAGAGATAACAGGCATTTTTCGATGACATGTGCCCTCGGTCAATGTCGGCAGTCTGTTCGTGATTACGCTGAACAATGCGTCCAGTACACGAAGGTTAGGGTCTTGAAGTTCTCCATTGATGTCCGTGGAGACGGAGCCGGTGATGAAAGGCTCGCCGATGTGGACATCACACGCACTATCTTGGGCAGCCTGAAGATCGTTCTCGTAGTTTCCCGTCCGCAGGTCCACGGTGTACCCTTCACGCTCATGGTGATCAGGCTCGTCGAGACAGATGATGCTATCTCGCAGCTCTGGCGGGATGAAGTCATCGCTCCAGTCATCGATCATGGGCTGGTTAATGGTGAGGTCCCGGTAGAGGTGGTTGTATTGAACAAGGTATTGCAAAGCCGCCAGAACTTTCGCCTTCCGAACGAGAAGAAAGGGACTAAGGTCCGAATCTTTGGGAGGTCGAGCACCCAACCAGAACACCTTGATCAGGCTATGTAGCGTTAACTCCGGGCTCGGCAGGATGTTGAGCAGTGGTCCCGGGTCTTGTGGAATAACAATGAAATGCCCCCGGAGAGCGTGATAATTGACGGGCGAGGGGTGGCCCCCCGGCCGAAGTTTTAGAACGACACCTAGAGGATGGCACTTTGCAATAAGGCATTCCTCCGTGAGAGTGAGACCTTCTAGAGTGGACGGATAGTCCTGGCATAGAGTCACATTCACCATATTCTTGGCCGAGAACTTCGGAATCATATGTCGATTGAGTGAAGTATGGCACGACGAACAGACATCCCAAATGTTATTATGTCGGCCACAGGTATCAAGAAGCCCCTTCAATGGCAGGAGTAAAGGTTCCTCATTATCTACCTGGTAGACATTGGGGTTGGGTACAAATTTCCCACATGAGCAACAGACACTTCTCTTGGCAGCTGCGGAAATAAAATCCTCGTATCTGGCCACGGACGCTCGTATATGTGAGCTGGATATCTCCGGGGGAAATGCATCGGAGGCAACGGCCCGAGTCTCCAGCTCGTCGCCCAGGAAACACAGCGCTCGATTCAAATTGTCCTGGAACGTCCGCGAGTCTAGCGTTCTTTGCTTTTTGACCGCGGGCCGCAATAAAGTCTTTTCTCTACGGCGAGTAGGGTTGGTTGTGAGAGCAGCGACTGTTGCAAGATAGGTACCGGCAGAGGACCCGCAGGAAGTACAAATCTTTGCGTTCTCGGCTCGGTTCTCGGGTCTAATGGGGGAGGGGCTGGATGATGGTCAGTGTTTGGAAGATCGAATGACTGTGGGAGAGTCAACTGTGGCTGCGGAACTGGTGCCAGAGGCCTCAAATGCGATCCCCTTTCTAGTACGGATTCTCCAGCGTCGTGAAGGCGCTGAAACGAGTTAACGAAGGGGTCAAAGGTAGTTGTACGTAAGTGGCCATAATCGACGGGGGCTTGCACAACAGTTGATCTTCTGGACCGACAATCGAAACAACGAATCACGCCAGTCCGAGCATGAAAAGGGGTTCCACAGTCATAACAAGGGCGAACATCGAGAAGAAGAGGCTGGGAAGATGGCCGAGTTTGGCAAAGCGCGCAGCGAAGATTGTATGAAAGTGCAGGAATCGGAACGCGGCAGCCCAAGCAGGTACGCGTTTCGACCAGAGGCGGCAAAGAGGCCAATCGACAGGCAGGACACCGCGGTGGTTCGATGGTTGTAGATAGACGAACCCGGCGACCACAGTCATGACAAGATCGATGAACTAGCATACTGAAGCTGTACCACACACGAGAAGTTAGATAACCTGGTCATTATAAGTGAAGATTGTCAAGTGCAGGTAGCAGACTGAGAAACGTTAATGGACGAGATATTACGTCAAGGGGCCGCTTTACACCGAACAAAAGTAGTACGAAGCAGAAGGAAACATGGAAATGAAATCTCACAAAAGAGCCAAGCTGGGTAATTTTTTTCTTTCGTGAGGTAATAGTCGACGATATCGGGCCTAGCGGGAGTGCGAGGAGTTGTGGCTGCATAGTCATAGCGTGCTTTAAAGTTACGGAAGACAGCAGCCGAAGCCGATTGGATCTATTTGAATCATGGTAGCCCAAACAATCGAATAAAATTATAAAGCTAAGTAACTGCAGCCGATGTTCCGACAGCACTCTGAGTGCTCTCACATGTCAGTGAAGCAAGGCGTGAGAATAAGTTGCAGTGCGTCATGGTAAGAAGAGAGCTATAGAATAGAAGAGAGGCAAAAATGGAAGGTAAATGTGCGAACTAGTGCAGATGAACCCCTAGAGCCTGGTGGACCAGCGAAGGCCAAGCCTAGCGAGGATTCCACAAGTCAGCGAATCAGCGACGCCAAGCGTGGAAGTCAATAGCAGTGCGTTAAGCCAAGAAGAGAGGTATACAACCAAGGACGAGCCAGTCATGGAAGGGAAACGTAGAGAGAAGTCCAGAATGAAACCCTAGAACCCTAATAGCTAAGATGGATGGAGAAGTAGATGAGCAATAAGACAACTTAGCCCACGACAGCCACGAGCGAACAAGAACATCTCTTGGCGGCGAAAATCGACGAATCAAGCGGCGAGAACGGGCATGGTTTTTGCAGTACGAACGCACCAAAACTTTGCGGGCAGCTCGCGCAGGGTAGTAACCCCTTCACTCGTTCCTCGTTTCAGGGCAAAGATAACCTATACATTATTCTACTCTCAAGGATACCTTAATTCATGTATCGTCACTGTAAAGAGTAGCCATTATAGCTGGAACTTTCTATATGGACGCAAACAAGTCAACAAGAGGAGGGTTTCCTGTGCATTGTGAGCTACTCTAAGCATGCTTGTTCAATAACATTTGACTTTCATTCTCTTATCGCCGATGACAGCAAGAATGATATTCTCACATGAAGACTACACGGTCGCGTGGATCTGCGCCTTGCCACTAGAAATGACAGCGGCAAAGACGATGCTTGACAAACTCCACAGTCAACTGTCCCAGTCCAAATCCGACCACAACGCCTACACATTTGGTAGCGTTAGTGGACACAATATAGTGGTAGCCTGCCTACCGTCAGGGGTTTACGGAACCACCTCTGCAGCAGTCGTGCTCGCTCACATGATTCCGACGTTTCCGTCTCTCCGATTTGGGTTGATGGTGGGCATCGGGGGCGGTGTACCCAGCAAAGATGCCGATATTCGCGTGGGCGACGTGGTTATCAGCATGCCAGCTGCGACCTCTGGGGGCGTGATCCAGTATGACTATGGGAAGACACTTCGTGATGGATGTTTCGAACGCACTGGGTCGCTCAACAAGCCACCGCAATATTTGCTAACTGCAATATCTCAAATGCGCAGTAATGTCACGGGTGGAAACATATTGATTGAAGAAATCGCATCCGAGATACTTCAGAAACATGAAAAGCTTCAAGAACAATTTTCACGCCCAGATAAAGATTGGCTGTTCCAAGCGAGTTATGACCATGAAGGCAAGAGTGCCGACTGCTCAAAATGTGAACCGGACCAACTATTTACGCGCATAACACGAGAAAACAAAGAGCCCGTCATTCATTACGGTCTGATTGCGTCTAAGAACCAAGTTATGAAATGTACTACAACACGAGACGCTATTGCCCGAGAGCTGAATATCATCTGTTTTGAAATGGAAGCAGCCGGGCTGATGGACCAGTTGCCATGCTTGGTCATTGAAGGAGTTTGCGATTATTGCGACTCGCATAAGCACAAACAATGGCAAGGGGATACGCCGCCCTTACTACAGCTGCTTACACTAGAGCTCTTCTGGGAGTAGTCCCTCTATACGGCCATACCCAGAGCAGTAACACAAAAGAAACGCGCCACTGGATGGTACCCTTGGCTCGAAATCCTCGATTTGTTGGCTGTCAACAGGAGGTCGGTTATTTTGAAAAGTTTATTATTCACGGAATAGGCCCGACCAAGGTTGCTATTCATGGGCTAGGAGGGATTGGGAAAACACAAATCGCCCTGGAGCTGGCCTACCGCACGCGAGAAAAGGTCCCTGAATGCTCCATCTTTTGGATTCCATGTACCAGCTACAAGAGTGTGCAACAAGCCTACATGAACATTGCCTCGGCACTAGGCATTTCGGATATAGAGCCAGCGAAGATGAAAGAGCAAGTCAATGCTCATCTTAGTCAATATAGGGCCGGAAAATGGCTTCTGGTTTTGACAACGCAGACAATATGGAAATGTGGACCAAGGGGAGCGCGACTGCGCCACCGCTCAAATATATTCTCCCTCGCAGTGAGAATGGTCATGTTCCCTTTACCTCTCGTAATCGAAAGCTAGCTGTGAGAGTGGCATCACCCAATGTTCTATTTATTCCCGATGTCGATCAAATCACTGCCATGAAGATACTGGAAAATTCACTCATCCAAGTGGGTCTGCTGCATAACAACTATACAACTGCCGCTCTCCTTGAGCAGCGTGGATTTCTACCGCTTGCAATAAACCAAGCCGCTGCCTACATAAACGAAAACAAGATCGAGCTATCTGATTATCTGTCACTATTCAAAGAGCGAGAGACAGACGCAGCTGAGCTGTTGAGCGAAGAATTCCATGATGACGGACGTTACGCCGGGATTCAGAACCCAGTGCTTCTTGGATGATATCTTTCCAGCAGATCCAGGATTTAGATAAATTGGCAGCAGACTATTTGTCATTCATGGCCTGCATTAACCCCCGAGATATCCCGCAGTCGATTCTTCCACCTCCAAGTTCGGCAAAAAGGAGGACTGATGCACTAGGTTTTTTGAACGCGTATTCCTTTATGTATCAGTGAACACGCCTGTAATAGTTCATTCAGCGTTCATCGACTTGTGCATCTTGCCACGCGGAATTGAATGAGGAGAACCGAGGTTTTTGATCATTGGGTACGCAGGGCAACTCAACAGTTCGATGATATCTTCCCTGATAATGACCCCAACAACCAAGGGTTATGGAGGGATTACCTACCGCACGCACTATATTTGATAAATAGTGAAGAGTTCCATAATATCCACTATGATCTTGCTTTCTAAAAAACCAGGGACCGGAAGATAAGCAATAGGAGGGTCCGGTAGCATTATTCGCACATGCGGCATGACATGATAGTGTGCTTCGCCATAACAGTTTGCTCTTAGATGCCCTCAACCTTGAACTAACTAATATAAACATTTCCTACCTTTGAAAATTCCTTGGTCAGAAATGAGTGAAATTTTACGTCGCCTCTACAATACTGTACTAACAGCGTAGAAAATGCCTATTAGCTCTACTACGTAAACTGACCACCGGTCCATCGGTACCACCTGGACCTGTCGGGATTCGATAACCTGCAGGTTATTATCGAGTGCTACGGCGGCGGCGCCCATGTGGCCTTCACGTCCTGAAGCATCAGAGTAGACCACGATGGCGGATGTGGACCGCACGGTCTCAGCCCGTTCTCTTGCCGTCTCTCGGTCTGACCCGATTTCAACCTCCGTGACGGACTCAGTTCGCCATGGCGGCAATGGTCGTGGGTCGATCGTCTCTAGTTCATCTAATCTTTCTAGGTTCATAGTCTTCAGGGCTTCCGCTAGTGGGAAACGAGCGTACGACCCGATATTGTTCCTACGTTTCTGGGCTCGCCATAGTGCATCCCAAATGGAGTGATCGCGCGGCAGAGTGTGGAGGCTTGTGATGATGTTTTGCGCTCGGTGGAGGAGGCGGAGGCGGAGGTGCGTTGGCAGAGCGTGTGCTTCCACTTCCAGAGTAGTGGTGGCCACTGTCCTGAAAGCCGATAGGATGCGGGTTAACGCATTGCTCTCGACTGTGTTCAGGTGTCGAAGGTGAGTCTTGTCTCACAAAGAATCGTGCCAGATCGTCGACGCCTAGTCCATGACTGGCGTTACGCACGCTTGGTACTACCAAGTTGGTAGTGCTGTCGCATCTGTTCAGGGCGTAGATGCCGCAGCCCGCCCACCACTAGCAAGCTTGAAAGCAATCTAGGTACCAAGGCACATGATCAATAGATCCTATGGACCATGTTGACATATATAGATATCCTCACTCTTGCCGATCGTTTGGATGGACTCCCTTTGGCAACTGTAATCGCCGGGGCATTTATGCGTGAAACTGGAACCAGCATCACTGAGTACTTGGAGTATTACCACGAATCTTGGACCGAGCTACAGTTGCAATCGAGTCCTGGTCGTCAGTACCAGCAAGGCAACATGCTACCAATATGGATGATCTCATATCTCGAGATGCAGAAGCGGGGCCCGAGCGCAGCAAACCTTCTACTGCTTCTTGCTCGTTTTGATATCGAGATATCTGGTACTCGTTAGAAAGTGGCCGTCATAGCTCAAACGCCCCCGACTGGCTCAAGAAGGCGATAGCAAGCTGACTCGCGTTTAAAATTGGTGTGAAGTCTCTCGTCGGATTCTCTCTTCTTGAAAGTAAGCTACAAAAAGGAAGCTATGCGATGCATCCAGTGGTACAAGACTGGTGCCTTCATATTGCCAACACAAGCAAAAATGTAGATTGGAAGCAGCTTAATGATCTCGCACTCATATCTGTTGGATACTGTGTGCCAAGTGAAAGTAATAGGGACTACTCAAAGATTCAGCAACGGCTTCTTCCACACGCCAATTATGCATGTCATCTAGATTGGTCAGATGACAATATTAAGTCATGGGGGACATTCCACTGTTTGGGGTATCTTTACTCTGATCAGAGCAAGCTGAGGGAGGCAGAGGAGATGTACCAGCGAGCACTAGCAGGCAAGGAGAAGGCTCTAGGTCCTGATGATACATCTACTCTCGATACAGTTAACAACCTTGGGAATCTCTACTCTGATCAGGGCAAGCTAAAGGAGGCCGAAGAGATGTATCTGCGAGCACTAGTAGGATATGAGGAGGCCCTAGGACCTGATCATATATCTACTCTCGATACAGTCAACAACCCTGGGAGTCTCTACTCTGATCAGGGGAAGCTGAAGGAGGCAGAGGAAATGTACCAGCGAGCACTAGTAGGCAAAGAGAAAGCCCTAGGTCTAGATCATACGTCTACTCTTAGCACAGTCCACAACCTTGGGAATCTCTACAATGGTCAGGGCAAGTTGAAGGAGGCAAAAGAGATGTACCAGCGAGCACTAGGAGGCTATGAGAAGGCCGTAGGTCCAGATAACGATTGGACTCGGCGACTTGCAGAGACGCTGACTGCAGTAGGCATTGCAGACGGAAAATAGTGCCTAATATCCTTTGCAAATGATTCCTTGTGAAGTGCTAGGGTAGATCTGACTTGCCTCACAATTGCACGTATTCACGCTACAATGCTTTATACGCTTCGCCACCGTCGCTATTTTGAGATCTATTGAGTTTGTAGCTATTGTTATATCATATGAAATACAGTTATTCATTTCCAGGGATCAAGCTTTCGGGCGATCTTTCGGTAGGTTAGTGTGTTTGTGTGAGAGCCCAATGACGCGATGGTGAGTGTGGTTCTGTAATCTTAGAGCTGTAACAATACTTTGGCACTTACAACACTTAGTCTTTTCTTCGTTTGGTATAATACAATTATGCCTTGTGACGGTTCTTTAAATACAGGGTTTGAAACAGCTCCTCAGTGTTGTCCGACATGGAAGGCGAAAGCGGTCGCTACTGTAGTATAATGGTGACTGTCAGCCTTGGATCCAAAGTAGTCTTCTCGAGATATAATTCCGTCAGCTTTCTCTGACAAACATCTATTAAAAAGGCACGATCACATTTCCTCCTTCGAATGACGGGGCGTGAGGTCCATTGTAGCTTATGCGCCACTTGAACCGGATTATCTACATAGGAAGATAACAGGTGTCTGGTAGCAGCCAATCCAAGGCCTATCTATCCAAGTATCGGTGATCTGACAACCCAACTCTGTCTCTACCTGCCTGGAATTTTGCCGAAAGTCTGGCCTGAGACCTTTCTGTAGATAACCTCGTAGCAAACACTGGAGAAACCGCCAGATGAACATCATATTCTTGAGCTCATCGGCGCATAGACCATTGTGATTGACGCAGCCGAAGGATTCTGGGGGCATATCGAGAACCTCGCTTTGGACTTCCAGGGCGGGAACTAGGTTCACCATCACTAGAAATGATGGTGCCTTCTAGCCAAGCTTGTTGGCCTTGTCAGTCACTTTATTGTTCTTTGCCGGAGCCAAAGATTCTGCAAAAGGTCCAGATACGCCATAGGGTGCGATGCATGACGATCCATAGAGGATGTTGATAATCCACCAAGGCCATCTTCAACACAGACCATCACTTCTCATCCAACGACTTCGCTGCTCGGCAACGCACCAGAATGGCGCCAGTAATATAAGCGCATGTAAGGATTTCATATTCATAGAGGTCACAATAGTCGTGAGCAGACCAAAGAATCGGCCTCTCCCGTTGTGGTGACACGAAGTGCCTAAAGTACTCCCATGATCCGGGCCGGACTATCTTCCCTGAGGGTGGGAAGCTCGTCCGGGGAAGAGCGTTTTGGGCCGTAGTATAATAGCATCATGAGCTGCAGATCGCCGTTTCTTTATATCGCTTGTGAATACAAACAGCTTACTGGATAATGTGAGTACTCCCAATTATGATATTTATAGAATAGTGACTGGTTTGCTGTGGATCATAGTAGCCCCTTAAATTACTCTTTCCCGTAAGACCAAGCAAGTGATTTGTTGGCGTTTCCATTGGTGCTGTCAACATGTATGCTTAGCCATGATGTCAGCGCCCCATTGAATAGTTATCGCTGTGCACTATTAATTCCAGGATATGTTAAGTTCAAACACTGTCGGCCACCGTATCCCCAAGCTAAAATTCTAGTAGCATTTCACCCGACCTGGTCAAGAGAATTACACCGCCATCAGCTTTAACCCAAGCTTTTCTACGTCAAGCAACCATTGTAGCATATAGGCCGGCGGTCCACTATGACTGATATTCCCTATCTTAGAAAAAGGACGTATGAATACTTTTTCAAGACGAATCATGCTCAGCTTGCCATTGGCACGATCAACGAACTCCTTAAGAGCAGTATAATAAATGGCGCAGTCACTGAGCACGAGCGACTGTAGCCTAGGAGAAGGATGGTAGCTTAAGAGAGGTTCCCAAAATCCAAATTGTCCCCGTAAAGTTAGGTTGGGTATGGATTTTACCGCTTCCAAAAAGTCGAGTGTCACCCCTAGATCCTCGATCGTGCCGTCGGCAAAAAATATATCGACAGCGAGGTTCTTAATATCTTGCCCGTTCTGACGGGTCGCCTCAAGGAGGGCACCGATCTCTTGTAAATGTTGGCGAAGTAGCTCCGTTGGCAGTGTAAAAATGAGTGGAGTATAGCACATGGGGCAGGGCTCGAGTGTTACATGGAGAGACGACAAATTGGCACAAGACTGGATCAAGGCTGTAAGATATGGCATATCAGGTCTGATATCCAGATAGCATTGTTGCTGCCATGAGAGTGCATATCTATGTGACCAGACGTGGCTACCTCTAGATACTATGTCATCGATGCATGCGTGATCCGTCCTACGCTTGTGGACACCTGATGCGACCTTCCAGGCAGCAACATAGGTTATTGAGCGGACATAAGCTAATATTGTCATGGGGATCTGTTCTTGCCAGTGGCATGCACACGTCCTGATCCAGATATTTTCAAATAGAGAAGGGTTGACGATTTCGCGAAGTCTGTGATTTACCAAAGCCATGTTATACAGCGTTTGGTAATCCATGCGTTCCACGATAAGAAAAATTATCTCCATGGGTAGTCGAGACAGGAACATATTCCTATGACTATCCAATGG